AAGGAGCAGTGATTCGCAGACACTGACACGGCTCAGAGTCGCTGAGCTGATGAGGGACCCATGTTGAGTAAACCTTCCGATAGCCGAGGTCGTTCAGATGGTTCCCGATGGCCATATGGGTGACTCCAAGTGTTGTCGCCGATTCGCGAATGGTGGCGTTCGGCTTCGCGTTGAGGGCGTTCCGCAGGGCTTCGTCAGAAAGTGTTGCAAGACTTTCTTTCCAACCCAATATATTTTTCATTCTTGAGAGTGTATTATTGATTTGAATACTGTCAAACAACGCAATCTTGCAAGAAACCGCAAGGAATCCCCCCAAGAAGAGGCAGAAGCGGGCATACAAGGAAATTCAGCAGAGGCTGAGAACACTTTGCACGCAGTATGGAGAGGGATTTAAATCCATGGAGGAGGTCCTGCATGGTCATGCCATCCGATTTTAGTGTTTGTTGTACTTAAAAAAAAATTGCATCCATTGAATAATTTTTCTTAATGAATTATAATTATTTTAATAGATTAGTAATATCATTTATCGATTCAAACAACTTTGAAGTTTACAATTATACATCCGACAGAATTTGAACAGCACATCAACATCTGTGAGGGAAAAATTAATCCTTATTCAAAGAAGCTGGTTTTCTGGTGTGTGGGGCCATTATGTCCGGAACCATTTTGTCCTGGACATAATGGTCCCAAACAAACAAAGCAAAAAAACTGAAATAACAGAAATCAAAACTTGAATTTTCCCATGATGCTTGACTTATGGGACACCCTGCATACCTTAGTCCAATCATTCCCTCTTTCCTTTTCCAGCAGATAAGGTTTTCTAACCTGAGGGGAAGAGATGATTTAAGGATTTACTATACCTGAGGGAACAAACAGCCAATAAATATATCAGATAAAGAAAATAGCTAACTTTCGTGCAGTACTGAACTCGCGAACGCTGCTGTTTGTTGTACTGAGATATAGGTATAAAATTATATAGGGTAAACACTACAACCACCCTGATACGACTCCCATAGAAAGTGGACACCCTGTGCGCACATCGGGAAACACTAGTAATAGGTCCTCGTACGGGAAGATGTTGATAGAATGCTTGAAAACGGCCAAATTAATTATGCTGGATTTAAGCCTCACTGGCCAATAACCGGCCAGAAACCAGGGTGCTTACCCGATAGGGTGGTTCAAAAAAACGCTCTACCGTTTTCTATGGGAGAAACACAGTTTCATAAATGCAGCAAAAAAATTACGTTAGATACTCGATCAATATTTGACAATTACAAAGTGTTGAAATGCTCCCCAACTTTTTCCCAGCATTCCTGCGTAAGTCGTGCAATGCCCATTTAGAAGTGAATTAAAGGTGCTTAGAGATGGATCATTCCACTCTTCCCGTCTCAGAATTTAAAGAACTTTTCAAGGGACAGTTGAATCCAGCTGATACTTGACAGAGAGGTTCATGAGTTTAAGAGGTGTTTTCACTTCCGCAAGATAGAGGGCGCTAAAAAAAAAAAAGGTGCAACGCTCCACCTGTAAACTGTGTAACGGAACAATAGCTCAGAGAATTGTTCAGAAAAAACATGACAATCTTTTTAATAACTCCTATATGTCCAATATCAAGAGTTTATGCACCTTATATTTTTTACTCAAATACACGAAATCGTACTTTCTCCCCTTTGAAAACGGTGGAGCTTTTTTTAAATCACCCTCGGTCACCCGGTCAACAACAGCGCCCTCTATCGGGATACAGCGCCATCTTGCAGATGTGAAAAAAACCTCTTAAACTCATGAACCTCTCTGTCAAGTATCAACTGGATCCAAATGTCCCTTGAAAAGTTAAAGTTGAAAAGTTCTTTAAATTCTGAGACGGTCGAGCACAGGTAATCACCTCACTTGAGGTGGAATGATCCATCTCTAATTTACCTCTAAATGGGCATATAATTCAATCCCTTGTACCTGTCAAAAATCGATCGCGTATCCAATGTAATTTTTTACCATTCTATATATAGCTCGCGAGCTTGTCTTGAACGCCAAATCGCATTATCCCGAGGGGGAAAAAAAGCCCATAAAGCAATTTAAACACCAACCTAAGGGCAACACAGAGTTTGGATCACAAGGGGGTTGGACACTCATCCGAAGACAAATAGGCCGTCCCCTGCCGAATCAGACCGACTGGAGGGGAAGATCCCGAGATATAAGGCTCCATATTTCCTAGACTATCTGGCACGAGCTGTCTCTTCTCTCGGTCCGCCGCAGGTCTCGTGTCGGAGTCCGTTCACCCTTCAACGGAACTAAAAAAGAACGAACCGAATCATGCGAGGAGAATAGATACGGGAGATGAAGTACTTACACTCACAACTATTCGCTCTACATTCAAATCAGGACTCAATGTACTGTACATCAGTAGGAAGGAATGCTGTGGGATGAAGGATCTTAGTCTCTCTTCCATCCTCTCGGTCGCCCTCCCTCTGTCCCCCGAGGCAGACCAAGTCGTCCTGGAGTTCATCCGTGCGTTTGTCCGTCGTGTGAGTCGAGACGTGAAGGCGGCGAAGTGTGAATCTCAGTTCCGGTGTGACTTCTTTTTGCAGGACGATCATCGAGGAAGGAAATTGATACATTTGCTGTTTGGCCTCCTTTTCCTCAGCGGAACGCTCGATAATGAACACTAATCGGTTCGATTTTCTCGACCACGAGCTCACAAGGGAATGGCCGAATCGTGACTAAAAAGAAAAGCCTTAAAGGAGGTTTAGCTAAAGCCAGTTATTAGATTTTTTGCGTGTCTAGTCAATGATAACATTTTCTTGGTCCACATCAATATCCTCCTTTGAGACTTTTTCCGACGAAGTTAGCATGGCGTCCCACAGAAGGAAGGAGAGATTGAATAAGAAAATGCTGAGGTCCAAATAGAATCAGTCGAACGCATTCGTATGCGCGAGGTGTGCAAGGCTTTTTAGGAAATTAGGTTAGATGCGAGAATTTCCCAAGCAAGTGGGCGGGAAAAACGGCACAAAAGCGCATATAAGGCGTTCTTCCATAGGAAGAGACACGTGGAATATAGCCTGAAATGGCTCCCGTATTCGGGAGCATCATTCCCTAGTGGAGACCTAGTGCTCGTTCGTGGATATATATATTTTTTCTTTATTCGTTCAACGTTTGCCACACAGATGTCGCATTTCTAAATAAGTTGAAATGCTAATCTGATGTTCGTTTTATTTAATTGCGATTGGCTCCTCATAAAGGTAGATAGATAATCAAAATTAACCCGGTATCAGCACTGGACGCTAAAAATGTCAAATTTGTATACTTTCGTCAGATTTCGATTTTTTTTTCTTAAAAAAATATGCCGTAGGTTTTCTAACTCGATTTTTAATTCCTATGATTGCAGCGCACTAGTACGTTTCTTGTTCGTGTGGACCTTAGTCAGCCTTGACTGCGAGGAACGTTTCCAGAACCGAAACTAATTTTTTTTCAAAAGGATAATGAGCAAAGGACTTTTATTGTTTCTTCGGTTTTTAATTCATATGTAGACACGCGATCCTTTAATCCTACTATTGTATAGATAGTGGGAAAATGAAAACCCTTTTCATTGAGCATTTACTTTACCTTCACAATTGTGGGCAGTGTCATGCATGACATCTCCGCAATCCTCGTGCTGCTCATAAATCAACATAACGGAATTCTGTTCGTTCCGTGAAGCTTGACTGCCATACCTGCATGGGAAAACCAAGTATCGGTCGAATCGGGACGTGCAGAAGACGATGGAAGGAGATGAGAAACGTCGAAGGACAAAGAAGCGACGTCTCGTCTTCGCACTGGTTCCCCCGAATCCCATTCAGCAAGGAAAGAAATTAATCAATATTGATCGATGGAGAAAGGAGTGAGAGGGAGAGATGAAGCAGAAAGGGGAAAAGTCTTTTTTTAAAATACGGCTGATCCGGGGAGCGACCATATCCCTTTCGTTTCCTAGCTTGCCGGAAAAGCTTGGAGCTTTCTTAGTCTTATCACATGCTAGGAGGACTAGAGCTTCATTTCTCTCCCTTATCCCTTTTGCAAACTCCGCCCTCACCCCTTTTGCACACGCCCTTTCAAACCCATTTCTGGGTAAGCTCTTCATGTTCACATTCCAGGAGAAATTAATTAGGTAATTCCAGGACATCGAGGTGGAAATTTCCCGAGTGTTCATCGATAAAGCCGGCATGGATCACTCCCTGCTGGATTCATCACACACGTTATCATCATAAATTACATGGAATGACTCTAAATGATGGAACCCCTTCTCCACGCAAATCCTGCATAAAACTGTCCAACTATACCTGTATGTCCAAACGGGAGACTTTCGAGATCACCATACCCTTCAAGCTGAGCTGCAACATCTAATTCATTTTTTTTTATCGTATTCTTTACCCTTGCATTATCATAGAACTAGTGAAATGAGACATTCGGAAGAGGAACTGAAAGAGAACAGAGACACGACCTCAGTAACTCCATCGGTTTCTTCGAAAGCCCCATTCGATAGACCACTTCCTCGCGAGATAGAGCGAGAGAAGTCTGGGAAACTTATCAAGGCAGAAGCGGAAGGGAGTCCGTGGCAATCGCGCTGTGTCCGTTCTGCGAAGGCATTTCAGTGTCTCTCAGTGGAATCGGGTTTTGCACTAAGTGAAAGTGTATGCACGCTTGTGGAATCAGGACTCTATTGGCGATCATTACGTTTTTTAAAGACTGCCAGTACAGCTACAGAGCGTCTCAAATTTCACCAGGAGAAGGAAAATAGCGTTTTGCATGAACAGAATTACCTTTGCATAAGAGTTCGAGACGTGCTAGTTATTGGGACTTGAAGTTTCCTTCGACGTAGTTTGACGAAGAACTTTGTGAATTTGCGGAACGAAAACGATGTAGGTCCGGATTCTGCTTTATTCCATCTTTAGCATTGACTTGCATGAAAGACCTTGCTTTTCGTGCCGAAGGTCCTTCGACATGGCCTGGTCGTTCTGGGACGTTTGCTTTTGCCGATGCTGTCGAAAGGTCAAGAAGGGACTTTCCACGACCAAGGAGAAAGAGGTGGTGAGATACGACTTAAAGTCGTCTCAGGGAGCCAGACTGTACCAGAAGAAAGACGACGGACTCCTGATACCCTTGCAGTGGGATTCTCCTTCCAAAAGGTACCAACGCACGTAAGGAAAAGCATCTCCTCTTCGCCACGGAATGTACGCTTCGGGAATAAAAGAAGCTTTCCACGGCAGGAGGCGAAAATCGAGTCCAAGCTGCGACTCCCAAGTTCACCTCCTCGGCAGAGCGTCGACCTCCAATCCTTCTCTCGCTTTGGAGTCCTCGTCTCCGGTGCCCGTGCAGCCTCGTAAGCGATTCCACCAAACCTCTCATAAAAGCTTTTGGATTTATAATTCATACATGCTGCTTTTGAGCTCTTTGGAATCAAAATGTGTTCATTTGTTTCGCTTGTATTGGTGGGCGCAAACTTAGGCACCTTAGGTAATGGGCGCGGTAGTGCCCATTACCTTTCTTTAACCCCTTCCGGCGACAAAATTCAACCGTCTCGTATTCCTCTCTGAGAGCAACAACAGGAATGAAATTTGGCATACTTCTTCCTCTCTCAACAGAATCGCTCCAGCAAATTTGAAGTTCAATCTCCCCGGGGTTGCGGAGAACACTGACTCTCGCTTTGGGAGATGTGAATTTCGCTCCTGTAATTTTTTTTTCACTCACCTGGGTAGCCACTCCTGGACAGTTTTCGAAGAAAGTGAACTTCCAAATCAATGATATTGATCTGGAGGTGACAAAAAGTCCCCTTTTTTTGCTTTCAGTGCACCATTTCGCCATTTAAAAAAAATGAAATTTGATGCCGTTAATTTAGGCTTAGCGCAATGGCTCCGGTCCCGTCCTCTAGTGTTGCTAGATATCATGCCGGCGTTATGTCAGATTCATGACTTCTTCAGCCTTAGTTTTCTGGATATTCTCTTTTTAATTTAGGAAACATTACTCTACTGAATACATGGGGTGAGCCGAGATTGAAGTGGTGGTTTGCAGTGGCCGATGGATTTGGTGGAATAGGGAGATATCTCATCGGACATCCTTAAATTAAGCCCCCCCCCCCTCGCTACGCCACTGATTCAGAGTTCCTCGAATCGTCTCGACTCGTTCTGAGAAGAAAGTGCCTTTAGAAAGCATGACAAACGAGCTGGGGGCTGGGGGGGGGGGGCTTCAGCCCCCCCAACTCTGGTCGGAATGCGTCCGCCCCACCCCGACGAGGAGAAGTTAGCCCCCCCCAACGGTCTGCTTAGCCCCCCATTGGGGGGGGGGGGGCGCCACCTGGCTACGCCACTGCTCTGGATAGACCTAATGTTCCCCGGCCGTACTGAAATGGCTCATGAAACTCGAGAAAGATCTACATTCGATCTAACGTCACACAATCTCTGTTAAGTGGGCCATGAGAGACTGAAAAGGCCTGCGATTGGCCTAACGTTACACGTCCTCAACGAGGTGTCTCGAAGACGAGGGATTAATCCTTATCAGCCTAATTGGTCCGTAGGCCGAGGATTAAGTTTCTTTTGAACGAAAACGTTTCCTATTCCCATTCGCGATTGAAATCAACTACAGTTGCCTCTGGGGGACTGATATTGGTTTCGATGCTTCTCCCCTCCATTCACAAGAGAGCGTGGAATTGTAAAACATGTATCGGGTAAAATCGGGTTTGAAAGAAGCCTATCGAGGAAAGGAAAAGCAGCTGCTTGGCATCATAAATAACTATCACGAGTGGAATCACACAGGATGATAATGCTAAACTCCAAGTTCTATTTTTGCTCGACAAGTTTGATTCCCACCATGCCAATAACGATTGGACTGTTAGTATGTTGGAATAGGAAAAGAAAGAAAATCTCAAGAAGTTCCTTCTTGTAACTAGGGATAAAAAGAGGAGAGAATAAATGCCCCCATTTTCAATAAGAGTCTTATATGCAGTCTAGGATTCATGTTTAGAACAGTAAGCATAGTGAGCGAAACTAACTTCCAACTAATTGTTGGCATACTGTTCTAATCATATGAATGGTAAAGGTAAACTAGTTAAAACCTGGAACACCTTTTTATAGTTACCATGACACGCGCAAGCAATCTGCAGATGTCAAAAATAGTGATAGCATAGATAGAGGTCCTAGCACACATGGACAAGGAGGACATAGCAAAAATGCTCACAGAAAAACAGATTACAGCTCTTTGCTATAAGAAAGAAAAAGAATCAGAAACTATGTAAGAAATCCCAGAGGCATCGCTTAGTTTTTCCACGGCGACTCACTGGGTTAACAACTGAGGTGCCATCTTACATCTGTAATGGTAACCGAATGGTTACACGAATAGCCCGCTGCTCCGACTAATGAAAGCGGGGAGCCTGGGTTAAACCAAGCCTCTGGATATGATGCAAAACGAGATAAGGAGAAGAAAAGATTTCATCTTCGGTTAACCCCCTCCTTCGTAAGATTGGGTCAAGGAGTGGGGGTGGTGCGTGTTCTGTCTCGGAGTTCCTCAAACCTTAATCCGACCCATTTTTGTACAGTAGTTGAGCCATGAGTGAGCAAAGTGGGGTGAGAATGATTCCAGGCTTTCAGTTGAAAGGAATAATGCATACCCCGACGGTGCTCACATGCACCCACCTAATAATGAGAGCCTGCACAGCCTGAAGAGCTATGCGAGCCTCTTAGGGAGGGGATGAACATGCACAGGTGAGAATGCGTCTCCAAGTGCATGCACACCCATTTTCAACCAAAGCACATCCTACACTCGCCCTTATTTGCCTGCTCAGTTGACACTCATGTTACTGGTTTCACAGGTATCCATAAGGTGATTTATTTTCCGTCGTGTAGAAAGAAGGAACCTGCAGAGGGTGAGCCATGAGGCATTATATGAATCGAGATGAAACCCATTCTCCTAGGTGAGATGGAGCCGTACCGACCGGACGTGGCAAAGGAGAGAACCCGAATCGGGTCGGAACCGTGTTCACGCGACCATTCGTCCCGCAAGTTTTCCCGAATCCTCTCCGCTCTCACGGCTGCCTCCGCCCACGAACTGGCCGGCTCCGAGAACAGGAATGCCGTCTCCCAGATCGACCTACTCACGTTCCAAGCAACGGAATTCAACGGAATTCCGGTTCGGTACTCTTTTCCGCACCCGAATGCCCTTCTGGCCGATCGAAATCTCAACATTTGCCGCACGTTACAGAAAGACAGGTGGAAATCGGTGACGGATGTGGGAGCCACTGTTCGAGCCGAGGAAGCCAAAAGCGAATCCGGAAGGAAGGAGAAAGACGAGACGAGGCAAGAGACGAGAGAAAGGAAATCCAGCGAGGTTCAATCTGGATCCAAATGCATCATCGAGACGCCCTGCTTCGGCATCGTCAAGTGCAAGGCTGTCTTCGAAGCCGAGGAGAAAAAGTAGGCGAGACCTTTCGAGTTCGACGACGAATCCCCTCTAAAAACGTTTTACTCCAGGTTGGACATCTACCTGGAAGAGATCGCGAACCTGGTGAAGAAGGGAGAGGACCAGAGCAAGCCCTACGACGTCGTCGTCAAGCTCCTCCTTCTCCCGAACGTGAAGGACTATCGGATTTCCCACATCGGCGAAGAGGGACTTTCTTTACTCTTTGAAGATAAGTTTTCCTTCGACGCAGTCAACCCGGACCGGAAGACCCTCCTCGTGTCCGTGTTCGAGGCGGGGATCGAGGGGAAGCACGATGCCATCGGGTCCGGTCATCACACGTTCGGTCAGGGCATCTGGCCGGATGATGGTCAGCACCTCAGTCTGCCCATCTTGCCCTATCGAATGGTAGGCGTGGACCTTTCGCGTTGCCTCGACGGACGATCGGGTGTGATCAGATTCCCGTTTTTTCAGACGATGACGGAAGGGCGAGGAGTGATTCTTCTCTCTCTGTCGTATCAGCCGTCGCGGAATCGCCTGTCCGTCGTTGTCGTCCGGGCCAGAGAACTTCGCCTTCCGCCTACCAGACTATCCAGTGAGTTCTCCGATCCTATGGACTTCTTTTATGCAATTCGATAGGAGCTCTCAACGTGTTTGTGTGCGTGACGATTTTTTCTCACGATGCGAACTTTTATCCTCTGGCAGAATCCCACGACATTTACACGAAGGTGGAACTGTACTGTAAAGGCGAGCGAGTAGAGAAGAAGAAGAGCCGACCGGTGCGAGGAGAGCCGGACTGGAACGAGTCCTTCCAATTTTACATTCCACTGGGGCTAATAGACCACAGCAGGATTGTGGCGTGCGTGAAGGTGCATGCGGTCCTCAAGCGGGATCCGCTTCTTGGCTGTGCCGCCGTGGGACCTCTGCACTTCGACATGAACGGGTCGCTGACTCACTGGGGCAAGGCCATGGCGTCCCCGGCCATCGTCACCAGGTGGCATCACCTTTACCTCTGATCCGATCGCGTGGGGGGGGGGGGGGGGGGGGGGGGGGGGGGGGGGGAAATCTTCGGGGAGAACGAAATCAGGAAGAATGGGGAGTGACATCATCCTCTGTGATGAATCAAGGACGTGGTATGAACGAACGAACACATGCGGAAATGAATGCAACAAGAGAGAAAAGCAGGGAAATGGAATTCTCTCCCCCCCCCCTAAATCAGGGGGGGGGAGCGGGTGGAGTCGCGTGAAATCTTGCTAGGCAAAATAAAAGTGGAGTTCCTTTTTCTCGGTTCCTTCGTCTGGGGATGTTTTATTCGTCATTTTCCTCCTTCCATCCCAGTATGTGGTGCGCGTCGATCCTTTCCCTAGTAGCACATAACACTGAAACAACATGGATTCAATGTTGATTCAGCATCAGGATGTCGAATCAACATTGAATCCATGTTGTTCCAATGTTACGTGCTACTAGGGTTCTTATTGCCTTTTTTTTCCAGCAACACTACAACAATACTTGAACAATCTCTCATGACGAATGATCAAATAGTCTCATTGAATTATATCTTAATTACTTCGAAACTTTAAAGCATGCGTTTCCTAGTAAAGATTAAATAACATTTAGTCCCAACATGTATATGACGTAGAATCCTGTTTTGTTCATAAGCTGACACTTTGATCTTAGGATTACCTCTGGATTACTATGTGCCAAGTGTTGCCAGAGGAATCGATTTCGAATTTTCAAACTAAACCAGTAAGTTGTCGATGTGCCGAATAAGATCCTGAAAGAGACTTAGAATCGCGTCTGATAGGTTGAAAGAGAAATCTTTTTCCAAGAAAGATCTGGAACATGTTGGTCAGAGGCCTCAGCAGATATTAAACAGAGGATGGGCACACTGGCTTCTCTATTTTCCTAAGAGGAGTGGGGGAGTTCTTTGAAAACAGGAAATTATCTCATTCTGAAAGTCAACAAGGCAAGATTGGGTTGCGATAAGTCTCGGGTTTCCAGGAACCCCTCCTAAGAGACGAGATTCGAGACATCACTCGAATCTCGCAATCGTAAGTGGAATCGCAATAACTTAAGCGAGATTCGACCCAGTTCCGTGTCAGAATGCGAGACCGTGGAGGGCCGAAGTTCACCATGGAAGATTAAATGGAACTTTGAAGGCAACCTCGATCTATTCTTAGCGGACGCGGATGGAAAGCCCTCGTCCTCTGCGACAGAAGAGGGGAATCACGGATTTCTTAGTCTCTCACTAGATGGAAGCACGAGGGCCGTCGAGAGTCACGCTTTTCTCTTAGGACACGCTAATACGAAGTCGCCAGGACGAAGCACGATTCCTTCTTCAATCTCATCGAGGATGAGTTGACAGGGATAAATACTCGGATGGATCAGTAAATCCCAAATATTTCCGATGAAACTTTGGAGCAGACTTGGGATTTTCCCAGCCGATTTCGTCTGAGAAGGAGCTCCTAACGGTCACGATTGGGTTGCAAAACATGGCAGGGAATGACGGCAATTTTCCATTCTCTCCTCCATCGGTTATGGGTAGAAGGGCAAAATGCGAAATGCCAAGTGGAAATAGCATCTGCCCCATTCATAAAACGCAAATGTTAGTGTTGATGCGGGAGCTCAAAAGCACACGCTGATTCCACTTTACGGCCAGCTTAAAGGCCGAAATGAAATAAAGGAAGTTAATTGGCCGTTCCTTAGGAGAAATGGCATGGTCTGAGGGTTATCTTCATGGAAATTGCTTCCTTTAAAAATTTTCTCTTACGAGGCTGATTCCTGCGGATTAGATAAAGCTGTAGAGCGATGGCATCAAAGTGGTAATGAGACATCGTATTTGGATGTAATGAGACACGGTCCCAGTATTTTTTTCTTTCATGCGTTTGAATGGGTCTAGCTTCCTATGGAGGGAGGTAGAATCGTCTTGTTAGTTGAAAAAGAAATTCCATCTATACCTATTTATCTAACGATGGTCACATCTCCGTCAACTCATCGTTTTCTGTGATATCGAGGGATGGAGCCCACTCTTTGTAAACGTCGTAAATAATATAATTCCCTTTGTGATTTACATGATAGTCACGTTACGCTATCTTATCTATCTCCCGAGCGCATCATGAGACATCGGGAAATAGTCTATCCAATCGATGATTTCTTTTGTTTGAGTCGCGACAAAGACAGAGGCAAAGAAAGGAAAGTAGAGAGCAGAAAACCCAAGAAAGGGGAAAGATGTTGATGATGCCTGGGGAGGTGAAAGCTTTCAGTGTTTTTAGGAAGTCGGGATGAACATTTCACTGAGGAAAGATGGGATGGATCCCGAAGAATTCGGGAAAAGCGAAAGATGAAAGACCAAAAACACCTAGTGGAAGTATAGGCCGTCAGGGCATTAGAGCGAGGGGCGGATCTTTAGAAAACCATAAAGGGTGACATCTTTAGTCTCCAGAGCATGATAAATGAGCTCATGGCATCATGAACCTCTCGGTGTCGAATGGAGCGAGAAGCTAATCAAGCTCCCGAGGCAGGTCGACCTCGATCAACCGAGGTTGGCCTGCCGCGCATGCCATCAGTCGTCTCGCTTCTCTTCGGGCTTGTCGTTTTTACAAAAGACTTGAAAAATGACTCTTAATGGCGTCTCATATTAAAAGGATCCGATACACTTAGTCGTGTACTCGCGTCGTGGTGTTACATTAGGCGAGTTCTCGTGAAGGACATCCATCTACTCGCCTCAAACATTCAATCATCTAATCGGAAATCTAAGTTGTTTAAGTGCCTACGCACGGGTGTGGAAAGTGTCAGATAGCCTAAGATTAGACGACTGTCGTGTTCATTGCTCTACCGCATGCAGAAACAAGCCACCGTCTATACATTCCTTATGAGATTCCTTTTCTCAGAGAAGCGTGGTTAAAAACAGACGCACAAACTGGGGGGAATAGGTTTTCTTCCCCCATTTTCCCCTTCACGTTAGAATGAACAGATCCATAAGAAATTTCTCAGCTCACTTAGCACCCCCCCCCCCCCATCCCTGCTCATAAACCCTAAGTGGGGTCGGTGCTCTGCGAATCAAAGGAAAAAGAACTTTCACTAATAAACCCTTCCAAAAAAAAAAAAGAAAAACAGCGGTGGAAAAGGCATTTGTCCTCGCAGATCCCTCGCCCTATGGCTGTCTGGCCCATTCTTGACCCTTGTCTCGCTAACTCCCTATGACCCTGTCTCATTTCCCATCTTTCTAGGAAATGAATTCAATCATAGGGCCCATATGTTGCTCTGCCCCGAATGGGACCCAGGGTTCCGGGTGATATTCTCTTTCCCAGCCGAGGATACCCCACCTCGGTTTTGTTTGTTTATTTTTTTAAATGGAAAATTAATTTTTTTGTACTTTCTTGTGAGAGGGTAAAAAAAGACTATTTTGCCCCCCAGCCTCAGGGAACTCCGTGCGGCCATTGATTAAAAAACCGCTGTATTTTCAACGAACTCAGGAGAGATCTGAAGCTGCATTTTTTCTTCTTTCGTTTCTCATCAGCACATAAAAGTCGTTGAACTCGTAATACTTAATACTCGATAAACCGTTCCTATGAGCTACTAGAAGCAGAATTATATCTGTGACATGATGATTTGTCTTGTTTGCCATGTCAAGAAAGTACATCTTGCACAAGTGACCATTGCATATCGGTAGACTTGGAGAATGTAACAGGACAATGAGGATTGCATAAGGGACACTTACGGTCGTGATTGTCAAGCACGGTAAAGTGCAGGATAACAATTGCGAACTCTATGAAGTAAATATTTTTTTGGTGACTCAAATTGGACAAGAAAATAGAGTTCATGGGTGATACGCACCAGATCCAGTTTTACTTTAAACTGATCTGGTTTCATAATGGGCGTCTATGGGAATCCCCGCCAAACCGATTCCCATTAGGCACCTTTGTGAGATGCGCGTCCAGAGATGGAATCACACGTCTGTTGGGAAAGCGTCACCAGATGGTACATCATTTATTCAAAAGCATGCTACTCTGCATCACAGTCACGGTTACGTCCTTCGATACCGGCTGCGAGCGACCAGAGCCATCCACTCCTTCGACTCGAACGAACGCAAACTCAATGAGCCTAGGAGTTCACGACAATCGCGGCAACGTGGAGGCAAAGCAGGTTCGACGCCTTCCAGCCTCCATCTGCTTTCGCCCTTCTGGATTGCGCTGATTTCCAGACTCGCTTTCGGTGTCCGAATCCCGGCGATCACAGCGTGAAAATATGCGGAGGAGGGTTTCGAAGGTTCGCCACTGGTATCTCCAAGAAGACCCCTCTCACTTTTTGGAGATTCAGATCGTGGGCTTTAAATAATCCCATAATTCCACATCTGCATGGTCTAATTATATATTTGCATTGCTACATCCTAATTGCTACAATTATCATAAATAGAACTCTCCTCACACCCTGAGTTTATCCTTTCGCGTATAAATCTTTCGTATCTCCTTTTATTTATTTGTCTCATTTCACGAGATCACGATAGAGAAATTCTTCGTGCATTTGCGATTGATTTCTTCCGACAGCTGTCAGATCTATCCTGGCGGCTTCCATTCAATTGCGAGAAAATATTAATCCACCGAGCAGTGGGCTTTCTTTTCCTTCCAGTACATGATTCATCGCTGGAGATAAGAGATTCGGTACATAGTGCACCATATCGCGGACCATAACTCACGGCGAAGTCGGGGAGAGAAGTGCCAAAATCCTTGTTGGGATTGCGTACACATCTGGAGATATATATGGAGTACCAGTCTGGTATATCGTTGATAAATGGCGGAGTGGAAATGGAGGAGACATTTAAGAGGCAGGAATACATTTCATAGCAGAGATTTTCATTCCAGCCCCACTCCTCCCGCCTCTTATCACCGTGCAATTAGCAACCCCCCATGGAGTCCAAATGAGAAACTGAAGCCAACGGTATCGTTCTCGTTCTCGTTCTCGTTCTCCTCCCCTTTCTTGGCCCCTATATTGCGCTAGAGCAGCTGCATGCCGAGGA